GATCGCGCCGCAACGGCGATACATCGGCGATGCATCGGCGATACATCGGTGATGCACCGGCGATGCATCGTCGACGTCGGCGGTGCACCGGCGACGTCGACTTGAAGCACATCGGGCCCCACATCGAGGCGAATTGGCGATGCATCGGCAATGCGGCGCGATCCTCCGACCCATCTACTCCGACCCCGTCTAGAGGCCTGTAGTCTTGTGAAGCCGCGCGTCGCGACCCGGGAGGGACCGCACGCCGCGCCGGCGAGGCCCGGAAGAAGCGCGCCGCTGGCGTACCCGCGGCCTGTGGAGCACTCCGTGGTCCATGGCCGCCAGCACGATGGAGCCGAGGACCGCGACGGCCCACATGACCTGTGACGGCGCTCGCGGCCGGCACCGGCCCAGACATGCGGGCCCCAAGAAGATAATTACACCACCACCACCACCTTCATTTCTGTTCCCTCCTTTTCCCTCCTCTTCCTCTCCTCTTTCGTGGGGGAGGGAGAGGGCGACGGAGGTGGTGGTGGTGTATCAGAGTGAGGGAGCCGAACGGTCATTCATCGTCCCTGGGTGCGTGGCTGAAGAAGGAATTCGTGGTGAGAATTATGTGTGCTGCGTTCTTCTTGTTGTTGTTGTTGCTGTTGTTGTTGTTGTTGAACTCTCACTTCTGATGAATAATTATTGCTGATCCCCCCCGTCCGGTGCACATTGTTTTTTTTCGGTTGGAGTGCCCTTCCCGGGGCTTGCGCCTTGTTTTTTTAACATGGAAAATCTTGAGGGTCAAACTGTGTCGTTGGCCCCCGGTTTACAAGAACAACGGCTCCCGCCTGACACTTCCTCACAATTTATTGAAGAATCGCGTTCTCGCTTGGGACTTCCTCGCAATTTACACCGGATCGCGGCTCCCGCTTGATACTTCCTCACAATGTATAGAAGAATCGCGCTTTCACTTGGAGTTTCCGCGCTCCTCTCGACACGGTTGCAATTCTCACTATCCTTCCGCCCCGCTCTCCCAACATCCCGCTTCTTTTCAAGGTTCCACGAAATTTGTTTCTGACACCAGTTCGCAGCTGTACGTCCCCCCGTGCGGGTATCCACGATATGTTTTTTCAAGGGGGTGGTACGTGGCGCTGTTTATGGCGCGACCCAGGGCGAAACTTATTGTGAACCTGTGTTGGAGTGGCTGGCGCAAGCTGAATCGCCACTCACAGCGCAAATAATCGTCCTCCCTCCTTCTTGCCCCTCCCCTCCCTTCCTCCGATCCCTTCGTCCTCATTATCCTCCGTTATCTGTTACCCTTCGTTTTCAAGGGCTTCACCAACCACACGTGGCAGGGAATGAATCTACCCCCCAAAAGGGGGTGCGATCGAAGACGAAGAGGGCGGGTATCCAAGGTTTGGGATTTGCATATTGAATGACACGCGAGCAGATAAGAGCGAACAATATTAAAATGATTGTTGCTGTTGTTGCTGTTGTTATTGATTGTTGTCGTCGTCCCACCCGCGACCCACCAGCGACCCACCCCGCGACCCACCCCGCGACCCACCCCGCGACCCACCCGCGACCCAACCCGCGAACCACCTGCGACCCACCCCGCGACCCACCCACGACCCACCCGCGACCCACCCGCGACCCACCCCGCGACCCGCGACCCATCCCGCGACCCGTCCGCGACCCAACCCGCGAACCACCTGCGACCCACCCCGCGACCCACCCCGCGACCCACCCGCGACCCAACCCGCGAACCACCCCGCGACCCGCGACCCACCCCGCGACCCATCCGCGACCCACCCAGCGACCCACCCGCGACCCACCCCGCGAACCACCTGCGACCCACCCCACGACCCACCCCGCGAGCCACCCTCAAGGGAGGAAAAAACACCCGGACCCGACAATTGACGTTTACAAAACGGCCCTGGGCGTTGACTAAACAGCCCTGCCCTGTTCCATTCTTTCCCTGTGTGCGTTTACTCAACGGCTTCGCTTGTCGGGGTGATTCTTCTGGGGTGGATTTTCTGCCCCCTACACCCGCGACCCACCCGCGACCCAACAGCGACCCACCCGCGACTCATTTGCGACACACCCGTGACCCACCCGCCACCTACTCACATTGGTTAAACGAAAAAATCGGCGCGCCTGCGGCGGGCTCGTTGCATACTTTGTAAAACTTTGGCGCCTGCGGCGGGCCTCTCCAGAGTCTCGCAAACTGCCGACGTCCCCACCTAAAACAGGGTCAGGATCGGGATAAATCGCTCCAGAGCGTTCCGGAGCGCTCTCAGAGCGTTCTGGAACGCTCTGGAGCGGCCGCGGCGCCCAATACATCCTCCAAGCCCGCCGATTCTCAGAGATTTCGAGTTATCCCGATCCGATGTTGTCCCGATCTTCGCATCGTTTTACCACCGCCCCCTCACTCTTATCCGCATCTGCGGGGTGCTACGTATTACAGCAAAGACTCGGAGGGCCGCGCCGCGCCACCCGGCAGCTTGGACCGCCGGCGCGGCGCGGGGCACGACGAGACACCCCCGACTCGGCTGGCGTGGGCGGCGGCGGGGCAAGGATTTCGGGGGCGAGGCTCCAGGCGGCGCACGAGCAGCTCCCCCGACCCAGGATAGTCCCGTCCGGCCTCAACAAGCCCCCCGAGTAGTGCCTGCCGGCCTCCACAGGCCCCCCAGATGGGGCAGGGCGGTCTTCAGCACCTGCTCCCGGGGAGCGGAGCGCCCGAGGGACGCCGCCGAAGGCGGCGTCAGGGTGTTTGTGACCGCCCTGGGCTACTCGGGGGGCAAGCTGAGGCCAGCCTGAGGCCGCCTGGGACTGCCTGGAGGGGATGATGATGATGATGATGATGATGATGATGATGATGATGATGATGACGACGAGGAGGAGGAGGAGGACCCGTGTAAACCCAAGAGTCATCAATGATGTTGAAATTAACCCGCCCTCCAAACTCCCTCTTCATAGCCCCCCGCAGCGGTTCATTTCCATTGAGGGAGCTGCCTCGTTGGAAGACAACCGTTGGAAGATCCTGAAGCATGCCCAAACATTGTTCTCGGCGCCTCGTATCAACCTGACTGCTGCGTCTTGATCCGGAATCGTGCCAGAGCGCCATTTTCTCGATTTCAAAACTGCGGATCAAGTAACTCTTGCACCAGCATAATCCTGAATCCTCCAAAGACACCATTTCTGGTACTTCGATAATGGCAGTCCGCTAAATTCGGGCAAATTTTGGAAACGAATGTGCGTGGCGCTAAAGCTAGAACCACATGTTGAAAACCACCCACCCTCAATCCGTGAAGCCCTTGCAACATGTTAAAACGAATGTGCGCGGCGCTGAGCCGAGTGCCACATTTTGAAAACCACCCGCCCTCAATTCGCGCTGGCAATCTTTATAACGAATGTGCGCGGCGCTAGGGCGAGAACCGCATTTTGAAAACGTCCCGCCCTCCATATGTGAAGCTGTTGTCACTGCTTCAGCTTCAGAATCATAGGTGGTGAGGAGGTCTCAGGCGAAACGCCCGGCCCGCCCTAAACACTTGCCTCGGGGTGCGGCAGGGAGATTTTATCTATAAGGAGAAGGAATGGAGGAGGAGGAGGCGGAGGAGGAGGAGGAGGTGGAGCAGGGGGAGGAGGAGGAGGAGGAGGAGGAGGAGGAGGAGGAGGAGGAGGAGGAGGAGGAGGAGGAAGAGGTGGAGGAGGAGGAAGAGGAGAAGAGAGAAACAGGAGGAGGGGGAAGACGAGGAGGAGGAGGAGGTGGAGGAGGAAAAAGGAAGATGATGAGGATGAGGAGGAGGAAGGAGGAGGAGAGGGAGGAGGAGGAGGAGGCGGAAGAGGAGGAGGCGGAGGAGGAGAGGAGGAGGAGGAGGAGGAGGAGGCGGAAGAGGAGGAGGCGGAGGAGGAGAGGAGGAGAAGGAGGGGGAGGAGGAGGGGGAGGAGGAGGAGGAGGAGGAGGAGGAGGAGGAGGAGGAGGAGGAGGGGGCTGTTGGTTCGCAGCCCGAAGCCTCACCAGGGGCGCCCTCGCCTATGAGGGGCCTCTGGGCGCACGCCTTGGGCACGGCCGGGCGAGGGGGCCGAGGGCGCGCGCGGGGCTCGCCAGTGCCGCTCCAGGACCGGCCCAGAAGTCGGCCCGAGACCCCCAACAGGCCCCCCCAGGAGTGCCCCAGTCCAGATTCTCCAGTCCATGATCATCCGTTACCGAACATTTCCAGTGACGCTCTGGGCAAACCTGTCGGTCGCGATCAAGATTCAGCCTCCGGTCGCAATTCCGGTGACGCGCGAGCCGTCGACGACTTCGAAACCTTCGCCTTTGACCCCGACGCACTGACTTTTCGTTGCCGAAATTCGCCCCCTCCGGTCGCGACCGACATGCGGCGCGACCAACATTTGTTACTGAAAATCTCTGGCTGATGATCTGGAAGGAGGCCCAAGGGAAGGCCTCAAAGAAGCCCCGATGGGGGCCTCCAAGAGCGCCCCTTCGAAAACACAGCGTAGATGGAACACCGTAAAGTCGCGCCTCAGATGGCCCAAAAAAGACCCCGAGCCTCCTCGGTCACCCCAGCAGAACAACCCTGCATGCAATTGGATGCTGCGCTGGCAGAGTGGCAGAGTGGCGGATTTTGCCACAGCCAGCTGGATAAGGTGATGGCCGGAACTTTCGAACTGAGTGAAACATGGATTGCTCTGTGGAGAAACATCTCAAGCCGACAGGCGTCTCATGTGCCCACACGGTCAAGTATGGGACCAGACATGATATCATCTCGAATGCGAGAGCACCCAGGGCATGACGAGTTCCGATTCCATGGGGCGGGGAATTCCGGCCCCCCCCATCAATCATGCACGGTGGTCCCGCGTCCACGTCGTACCATGCGGGCGATGCCCAACTTGAAGCAACATGTGTCCGTCTTGAACAAAAACCATGAAGCGGTACCGCGTGACGTCCCCCACACGCGCAGTGATCCCCAACCCACGTCCCACACTGTGTGATACATGAAGCCCCCCTTCCCCAAGATGTCCTCTGGAGCGCCCACCAAGCCTTCCCAGCGAAAGCACCGTCTTCCGCCCTCCTTGTCTCCCACGAGCAAAATCTGGCATCACCTGAGGGCGCCATAGGCAAGCCAAACACAAGACCTCAGCCAGCGCAGCTAAGCTACAAAGGGCGTATCCACGGCAATGCTCGGCTATACGCAAGAGTGGCCCTGGGTAAGAGTGACCTTTGATGCGCGACTTTTGGGGGGCCGCGGGGGGACCAAACCTGGGCGCAAAAGCAGCTGCTACTGCTTCGTTTGCAGCCATCTGGGGACCCATCTGTGCCCGCACCAAAGGTCTCTCCGGCGAAAGGTCACTCTAGTCGAAATGTAGCGAGGCGGTCCTGCGCATGCGGACGAGACACGGAATCCAGACCGCGTGGCACTGTCCTCCGCCTTCCTGGCCCTTCCTGCGAGCGCCGAAACCCGGTCTGTGCCGGCGCCCGCGCTTGCGCCCGCCCTGAGCTTGGCCGGCGCCGCGTCGAACCGGTAGCCGCCCTCCCGGTCCTCCCGCTCTCCTAGCTCCTCCAGTTCCCCCCCCCCTTTGGCTGACTCATCCAATTCCTCTCCCTCCTCTTCCCCGTCTGCCCCTCCCTCTCCTCCGACGCTCTGGCAGATCATGGATGTGATGATCCTCTGGCCAGATCGCCCCGCGGAGGTCCCGGGGGCCCAGAGCAAGGTAACGCGAGGCTCACAGACCTCGGGCGCGCGCGAGCATGGATCAGGACTCCGTGGATCTGCTGCGTGGGCCCTGCCTCCACGGATCGGGAGCAGAGCCCCCCAAAAACTACAAGAAGAAGACACGCCATAAACATAAACTGCTGGCGCTCCGCCGCGGAGCGCCCAAATTCTATGTTTATGGCGTTCTTTCTTCTTCGAGGTTAGGGATCCGTGGATCTGCTGCGTGGGCCCCACATCCACGGAACGGGGAAAGCGGCTCCCGAAACCTCTTGATGCGTCGGCGGGTGGGCGGAGGGCGACTGCGCTGTCGATGAGAGAGGCTTTCAGCGGGGGTGCCGTCGGGCCGGCTTGTGCCACCATGCAGGAGCTTAGTTGAAGGGGCCCTGGGACACACAACTAAATCCGCCGATCCGGCGGCGTGTGAGTTTCAAGGAGTCTCAGCTACAGCCTCGAGGCTGAGCCTCAGCCTCTGGGGGGGTTGCCGGGGTGGCTCTGCCGGGGAAGGGGGGGTGGGGGGGGGTGGGGGGGGGGCGAGTTTCCGGCGGATGCGTTTTTTGACACCCCTCACAAGGATCGTGGCCTCCGAGGGGGTTCCGAACTCGAGTACCACCCCTCCCGCACCAAGAGGCTCCGAGGAGGCCTCCAAGAGGCCCCAAGGGGCGCAGAAGAGGCCCCCAAGAAGCCCCAAGAGGCTCCCAAGAGACCCCCAAGAGGCCCTCTAGTGGCCCCAAGAGGCCCAAGAGGCCCCCAAGAAGCCCCAAGAGGCGCCCAAGAGGCCCCCAGAAGTCCCAGCCAACCACGAGATCCCAACCAGCATCCATGAGGCCTCTGACCCACCACCCACGCACGGTGGCGGGATAGGCCGACGGCCACTGGATAAATGCTGAGTGAGAGGAGGGGAGGGAAAAAGAGAGGAGGGACGAGGGCGAAGAAGGATCACATCAGTCGGAGCGCCCCGGATCGGCGGCACTGGCCGAAGGCCACTACAATACACACAAATAAAAAGATTCCCCATATTTTCTAATATTTTCTGGCTTTTTGTCTCCCCCCCCACTTCCCATATTTTCCTATATTTTCCTGGGAGTCGACGTCTGTGTGTTTCTTTCCCTCCTGAGAAGCGGCAGGGCCATTTTTTCACCGTTTCCAGAAAAATGCGCCTTGAAAACGGAAGCGGCAAAAAAAAAACGGCGACCGGACACGGCAAACAAAAACGGCTCCAGGATTGGAGCCGGGGCCGGAGCCGGTCAAAACAAAAGGCGACGGAACCGGTAACAAAAACGGCGCTGGCACCGGCAACACAACGGCAGAACGGAACCGGTACAAAACGGCCCTGCCGTTTCCAGGGCCCACGGAGTGCATGAGGAGAGAGGGAGGAGGGACGCGGCCGAAGGGACAGCAGGACGGGGCGGGCGGCTCGCGGGTCGGAGCGCTCCCCGTCGGCGCGCGCCCCCCGAAGCATGAAGAAGAGCTAATTATACCTCCGCCTCGTCCGCGGCGAGGGGGCGCGCCGGCGCCGCGCGGCCAAAGCGGGGGGTCCCCGTCGCGGACGCGCGCGCGCCCGTCGCCCTCCGCGCGGGCGCGGCGAGGGCCCAGGCGCGGCCGCGAGCCCGCCCAGCCCCGCGGAAGGGGCGCGTCCCACCCAGGGGGATTTTCGCCGAAAAGTAAAAAGTAGTCAGACAATACCTCAAAATGGCAAAAAAAAATGCTCACAAAATAGTCCCCAGACTATTTTGTGACTACGTTTGAATATTCCCCCTGTAGAGGGACAGGCCCGACCTAAACCTAGGGGCCCGCGGGGCCAGGGAGGGGCCGTGATCCCTGAGGCGAGAGCAGCGGCCCGCACTGTGCTCGGTCGCTGCTTTTCGAACCTGGCGAGCTGGAGGTGCGGCCACTGCTCGGACGGAGACACAATTCGCGGGTGGGCGCTTCCCTGGTGCCCTTTCGAAGGAGGCTTTCTTGTTGCTTCTCTCTCTCTCGCTCTCCCTCTCCCTCTCCCCCTCTCCCTCTCCCTCTCCCTCTGAGTCGATGCCTCTGTCTCTCAGTCTCTCTGTCTCTCTGCCTCTCTGTCTCTCTGTCAGTGTCTCTCTGTTTGTCTCGGTCTGTCTGTCTGCCTGTCTCTCTCTGTCTCAACCTCTCTGTTCTCCTCCCTCCATTCATCTCCCTTTCTGTCTCTCTGTCATCCCCACTGCCTATCTCGCCCTCTCCCTCCTCTCTTTGACCCCTCCCTCCCTCTCCCTCTCCCTCTCTCTCGGCCTCCCTCGCCGGGTAGAGTTTCACAAGACCCGGTCTCAATAATTCATGCTACGGCCGGGAGCTCTGGGCGGCGGCCCCAGCGATACGCCTGCCCTGCGAGCGGGTATAGCGCGTCGCTCCGTTCCGCGCTGCGGGAGTAAAACAGGGCTAGGATCGGGATAAATCGCTCCAGAGCGTTCCTGAGCGCTCTCAGAGCGTTCCGGAACGCTCTGGAGCGGCCGCGGCGCCCAATACATCCTCCAAACCCGCCGACTCTCAGAGATTTCGAGTTATCCCGATCCGATTTTGTCCCGATCTTCGCGTCGTTTTAGGGAGGCCAGGGGGAAGCCCTGGACGGTCTCCGCTGAGACGCAGACTCTCGCGGAATCGTGTGGTGGCGGACCGCGCGGTGGCCTCAGAATCCCCAGCGACATCACCGCGCAGACCGCTCCCGCAGGCTTTGGGACCTCGGATGCCCCATTCGCCCAATACATTCATCCCTGGGGGACGACTCGAGTTTCAGAACCGCGCGGTGGCCCCGAATCCCCACTGACTCACCACGCGGTGTGGTCACCACGCCGTTTGGGGGCCCCCCGAGCTTGCAGGCGGCCGGGGGGTATGCACTGGCTGGGGCCCCAGAAAATCGGCCAGGAAGGGGGGTGAAGCCAAATCCGTTCAAAATCAAGTCCCGGACCCCCACCGGGGCCCACGCAATGAAACACCCCGGGTCCGTCTTTGACGGCCCCCTGGGCCCGCAACACCAGCCCCCCTGGCCGACACAGGCAGAACAAGAACGCGCGCCCGAGCCAGTGGCCGCGAACCTCTCTGCCCCCCCCCCTTCTTGCTCGCTGGAACCAGTGCTGGGCCACCTCAGACCCCCAGCGGGCCCAAACCCCGCCTGGAGCCCCCCGCTGCGCCGAAGACGCCCCCCCCCCCGCGGAGCGACCTGCGAGGGCCGGCCCCCGGGCCCCAGCCCCGGGGCGGCGCGGCGCGACACCCAGAGGTCTAGGGCGATCTTGGCCTCGGGCGGACGGGGGGTACCGAGGAAGCGGAGGAGGAGGAGGAGGAGGAGGAGGAGGAGGAGGAGGAGGAGGAGGAGGAGGAGGAGGAGGAGGAGGAGGAGGAGGAGGAGGAGGAGGGGGGGGAGGGGGGAGGAGGGGAGGGGAGGAGGAGGAGGAGGAGGAGGAGGAGGAGGAGGAGGAGGAGGAGGAGGAGGAGGAGGAGAAGGAGGAGGAGGAGGAGGAGGGGGAGGGAGGAGGAGGAGGAGGAGGAGGAGGGAGGAGGAGAAGGAGGAGGAGGAGGAGGAGGAGGAGGAGGAGGAGGACGAGGGGGAACAGGCGAGGGAGGAGGGGAGCATGTGAGGGTGCGGTGCGTGTAAGGGTCCATCGAAAGTGCAGTTTCGCATTTTTGTTATCAGCGCCCCGAGCGTACCTCACAATCATTTAACCGCACTGGCTGCTGCAAACTGTTGCACGGAGAGGAGAAGGACGATGGTGATGATGATGATGATGATGATGATGATGATGATGATGATGATGATGATGATGATGATGATAATGATACTGATGATGCTGATCATGATGATGATGATGCTGATGATGATGATGATGATGATGGTGATTATGATGATGATAATGCTGATGATAAAAATGATGATGCTGATGCTGATGCTGATGCTGATGCTGCTGCTGCTGCTGCTGATGATGATGATGATGATGATGATGATGATGATGATGATGATGAGCCGAAGAAGGAGGAGGAGGAGGAGGAGGAGGAGGAGGAGGAGGAGGAGGATAAGGAGGAGGAGGAGGAGGAGGAGCAGGAGGAGGACGAGGAGGAGGATGAGGAGGAGGAGGAGGAGGAGGAGGGGACGAGGAGGAGGAGGAGGAAGAGGAGGAGGAGGAGGAGGAGAATGAAGACGAGGGAGAAGAGGCGAGGGAGGAGGGGGGAGAAAAGGGGCAGGGGGGGACGGAGGACGAGGAGGATACTGGTGGGATGCACAGCATGAATGGTCGCTTGTCCTTGTAAGTGAAAATTGCTGCTTCGATCGCCGCTGTTCGATTGTGCCTCTTGCCCTTGCCCTTGACTGAGAAGATAAAAAACAGCGGCCACCGCTCGAGGGAGAGCTGCGCAGAACTGGAGGCCCTTCGTGGGTGGACGGTGACCGGTTCAGAGCGATTTTGTGGGAAAAAGCACACACTGTGGGTAACAAACACACACTGTGGGGAAAACACACACACACTGTGGGAACACACACACAGAGTCTGCGGGAAAATTCGCCGGCCCAACGGGCCAGAGGCGTGCTAAGATCTCCGGTAACTGCTCTACAATGTTTCTACTTCGCGCGCGCGGGGCGGCCCCTGGGGGTCCCCAGACGAAAAGTACCCCGACCAGGTCCCGGCCGGTCCCCGGCAAGGTCCCCGGCAAGGTCCCCGGCAAGGTCCCCGCAAGGTCGGGCCAGAGATGCCGGAGCCCTGTTACAGGGCCCCAGGACGGGCCAAGAGGCCCCCAAGAAGCCTCCAAGACGGTCCAAGAGGGCCCCGAGACGGCCAAAGATCGCCCGAAGACGCCCAACAGGGCCCCAAGACAGCCCAAGAGGCCTCCAAGACGCCCCAAGGGCCTTCCAAGAGGCCTCCGAAGAGGGCCCCAAGAGGCCAAAATCGTTGATTTTCATTGTTTTTTTCTATGTTTTTTGCGTTCTGGCTTTTTCGGCTTCCGGACGCTCCAAGACGGCCCAAGAGGCCCCCAAGACCGCTCCAAGACGGCCCACGAGGCTCCCAAGACGGCCCCGGAACGGCCCAGGAGGGCCCCCAAGACGGCCCAAGTGCCGCCCAAGACGGACCAAGAGGCCCCAAGACGGGCCCAAGAGGGGCTCAAGAGGGGAACCGAGAACTGAAAAATCGAGCCCTCCGCCCCAGAAGGCGCCCAGGAGGCCCCAAAAAGGCCCCAAGAGGCCCCCAAGAGGCCCCCAAGACGCCCCAAGAGGCGCCCAAGAGGCCCAAAAGAGGCCCCAAGAGGCCCCAAAACGGCCCCCAAGAGGCCCCAAAACTCGGCTAGCCCACAACGACAATATGGGCCGGCGGAATGAGCGAAGCGATTAAATAACACCCACACACAGACTGTGCTTTTTCCCACAGACTGTGTTTTTTTTCCCGCAGTGTGCTTTTCCCCACAGGGTCTTCAGCGAGAAGCTGGAATGATGGGAAAGAGCGTGCGGGAAATTAGGCAGCTGGGAGGGGTGCGGTGGTGGGAAAAGCGGTGATGACAGAGCGGATGGAAGATGCGTGATTACTTGCATCGACTGCGCGTCGAAGGCGAAACCCTCGAGGGGGTCGGATGGGCGGCAAGCAGCGAATGCGAGAGACGCGCGGCAATCGCGCAATGACAAACTTTGACGCGACAGGGAAAACAACAGGCCACGGAAGTGGGAAGAAATACCAACGTTAGGCCAGGCATGTCCCCTTAAAGGCGGATTATGTACGGAAAATCAATTAGATTCAAAAAATCATCATAAATGGCCAAACATGCTCAAAAACTCGTCCCCAGACTACTGTTTGACTACTTTTGAATGTTCCTCCTGCGCAGGGACAGGCCCGACTTAAAACCAGCGCGTCGGGGGCAGGCGGGGCAGGCAGCGGGGTAACATGAGCAGGTGGGAAAGATGATGGGAACGAGAAGGGGGGAGACTTCCTCCCTCCCTCCCTCCCTCCTCCTCCTCCTCCTCCTCCTCCTCCCCCTCCTCCTCCTCCTCCTCCTTGTCCTCCTCCCGCGCCAGGAGCACGCTCCGAAACCGAACGGAGAAGGGACCTCATCCTCCTTCTCCTCCTCCTCCACCTCCACCTCCTCCTCCTCCTCCTCCTCCTCCTCCTCCTCCTCCTCCTCCCCCTCCTCCTCCAGAGAGAGAGAGAGAGAGAGAGAGCGGCACCAAGAAAACCGACCAAAGAAGGCAAGATGCAGTCAGCAGTGGCGCAAGGGAGATGGGGCAAGATGGAGGGTGGGGCGGAACTTGGTGATAGGGAGTTGGTGAAGCGCGGAGCAGCACAAAACTTGAAAAGGAACTGCATCAGGCCCGGCCCGGCACTGAGAGAGAATGTAACATGGCACGGCCTGGTACCGACATGGAGTATCATGCTAACAGCAAGCTTCATGTAAAAACCGATCGACGTCATATATTGTGGGTCACAGGAACGCTCCTCTTTGCTGATCAGTAACCGATCAGCTGGCCAACGTTTCAATGAATACAAAAGGACGATGCTCGCAAATGAGAGCAACCTATCGGCCACGCGGTTGGGACACGGTAGCCTGCACCACATAGTGGGGAATTGTGTGGCACGCAGTTCCGCCTCCGAGGCGACTTGCGGGGAAGCCCAAAACACGTTCCTAATGTCACGGAAGCAGAGATGGGAGTGCTGGTGTATGAAAACGGCGCTCGTAATATGGAGATCCGCACTGAAAGTTGACGGATGCTGTACGATGAAAGATTGTCAAGCAATCGATGTGCAGAAATCCGCCGACCCTGTCGGCGAGTGGAAGACGCTCTTCTGTTGGTCGCCGTCGTCGTCTCCGTCGTCTACTCGTCGTCTCCGCCAATCGGCGTCTCCGTCGTCCCCTGTCTCCTCTCCCTGGGCTCTCCTGCTTGAGCGCGCCAGCCAAACCGACGTTGAGCAACGTCGCAGCTGAGCCGAAGGGAAGCTCATGCCCTTAGATCCCCTCCCCGCGGGGGGAGGGGGGGCCCGGGGAAGGGCGCGCCCTCCAGATACGCAGCACCCCCGGGCGGTTCTGGGTCCCAGGGAAGCCGCAAGACGCGGCAAGAGTGCCCCAAGAGGCTCCCAAGATGGTCCTCGAGGGCTGCGAATCGCCGAATCGTCGGTCCAAGACGCCAAGGTAGGCCTCCAGACGGATCAAGAGGTTTTCAAAACGCCCCAAGAGGCCTCCAAGAGCACTCCCAAGAGGGCCCCCAGGGGCAAACAAACACAGATTGTCCTCCAGTTTTCGAAAGATGCTTGCGTTCTCGCCTTGTCGGCTTCGCGACGCTCCAAGACAGCCCACGAGGCCCCCAAGATCACCCAAGAGGCTTCCAAGAGGGCTCCAAAACGACCCGAGAGGGCCCCAAGAATGCCCAAGAGGCCTCCAAGACAGCCCAAGAGGCCCCCAAGACGGCTCCAAAAGGGAGCCCAGACGTGGGGACCCAAACGGACATTTCGAACCCTCGGCCTGAGAGGCTCCCAGGTGGCCCCCAGATGCCCCCAAGAAGCCCCCCAAGAGGCCCCGAGAGGCCCCCACGGGACCCCCAGGAAGCCCCAAGAGGCCCCCACGAGGCTCCCAAGAGGCCCCAAACCTACCCTCAAGAGGCCTCCGAGAGCGCTCGTCGCCGTCGCCGTCGCCGTCGTCGTCGTCGTCGTCGTCGTCGTCGTCGTCGTCGTCGTCGTCGTCGTCGTCGTCGTCGTCGTTCAGGGTCGGCGGCACTGGCTGTAAGGCCTCTCCAATCTGTGAGCCACAATTTGTCCTAGAAATCAAGGTGGGCGAATGGTCGGACAAACGGATTGACAGCGGCAGTGGGATCAGCGGGCTATCAAAACAAAACGAACGGGCGCAGGTGGGCACCAACAAGAAGAATGATGGGTTAGTCGGCGGTACGCCATACGTAATAGGAAGGCGGTGAGAGCACGAAGAATGAGTGAAAGGAAGGCTACGACGCAAATGGGAAAAGGCCCATCCGACAATGGGGACAGAGTGGGCATCGGATCGGAATCAATCCCTACACCGGATCAAGCCTCGGCCCCAAAGACCGACACTCCAGAGCCCTCGCAGACTGGCTGTGCGCCGGTTGTCGGCCTCGCTGCCGGGACGAGATGATGTTTCGGCCCAGAAGCTGTCCAGCGGACGTGGACGAAACTCGGGGGGCAGATTCCAGGATTGGCGTCACCAGGGGCGGTCCCTGGAGAACTCTGGGCGGGGAAGCCCGCTGCGATGGACTCGGAGGTTACGAACTCACAAAGCCTGCGCATGAACAGTGATGCG